TCTTCTCCCGGACCCATAACTGGTCCAAGGTTCTCCCCCGGACCCATAACTGGTCCAAGATCTTCTCCTGGACCCATAACTGGTCCAAGGTTCTCCCCCGGACCCATAACTGGTCCAAGATCTTCTCCTGGACCCATAACTGGTCCAAGGTTCTCCCCCGGGCCCATAACTCGTCCAGGATCTTCTCCTTGACCCATAACTCGTCCAAGGTTCTCCCTCGGACCCATAACTCGTCCAGGATCTTCTTCTGGACCCATAACTCGTCCAAGGTTCTCCCCCGGACCCATAACTGGTCCAAGATCTTCTCCTGGACCCATAACTGGTCCAAGGTTCTCCCCCGGGCCCATAACTCGTCCAGGATCTTCTCCTTGACCCATAACTCGTCCAAGGTTCTCCCTCGGACCCATAACTCGTCCAGGATCTTCTTCTGGACCCATAACTCGTCCAAGGTTCTCCCCCGGACCCATAAGTCACCGAAAGTTCTCCCCCGGACCCATAACTTGTCCAGGGTCTTCTCCCGGACCCATAACTGGTCGAAGGTTCTCCCCCGGACCCATAACTGGTCCAAGATCTTCTCCTGGACCCATAACTGGTCCAAGGTTCTCCCCCGGACCCATAACTCGTCCAAGATCTTCTCCTGGACCCATAACTGGTCCAAGGTTCTCCCCTGGCCCCATAACTCATCTGATGAGGTGGGAGGTCCTTCAAGACCCATTGGCCCATGGAAGCTCCTCCCCTTTCTCCATGACCCAAGCCATGAGGTTGGAGGTCCTCCAGACCCATGGGATCACGGAAGGTCCACCCCAGGCCCCATAACTCATCTAACGAGGTTGGAGGTCCTCCAAGACCCATTGGCCCATGGAAGCTCCTCCCCTTTCTCCATGACCCATGGCATGAGGTGGGAGGTCCTCAAGACCCATGGGACCACGGAAGGTCCACCCCAGGCCCCATAACTCATCTAACGAGGTTGGAGGTCCTCCAAGACCCATTGGCCCATGGAAGCTCCTCCCCTTTCTCCATGACCCATGGCATGAGGTGGGAGGTCCTCAAGACCCATGGGACCACGGAAGGTCCACCCCAGGCCCCATAACTCATCTAACGAGGCTGGAGGTCCTCCAAGACCCATTGGCCCATGGAAGCTCCTCCCCTTTCTCCATGACCCATGGCATGAGGTGGGAGGTCCTCAAGACCCATGGAACCATGGAAGGTCCACCTGGTCTCCATGACCCTTGGCATGAGGTGGGAGGTCCTCCAAGACCATGGGCCCACAGAAGGTCCACCCCCGACCCCATAACTCCTCCGACCTTCTCTCCCCCTGCAGCCTGCGAAGCTTCAGGGCCACAGGTTCCCCCGGAGGTCCAAGTCCTCTCCAGCAGCTCCTGCCGGCATGGGGCCGAGGAGGGGGTGGAGCTCCTCTGCGTCATCTCCGGCTTCTCCCCGGCCACGGTGGACATCGAGTGGTTGGTGGACGGCGTCCCCGGCCTCTTCCCGGCCACCAGGACCTGGCCGAGACGTGAAGATGGGGCCACCACCTTCTCGGCCACCAGCAGGACCAACGTCAGCCGAGCGGATTGGTTGGAGGGGAGGACCTTCACCTGTCAGGTGACCCACCCGGCCACCGGCGCCGTGGTGCAGGACCACGCCCGGCTCTGCTCCGGTGAGGACATCGCGGTGGGGTGGGGGAGGTGGGGTGGTGGTGGTGGGCTTCATCCATGGAGAAGGTTGGGAGATCGTGGTGGGCTCCATCCATGGAGAACGTTGGGTGATCGTGGTGGGCTTCATCCATGGAGAAGGTTGGATGATCGTGGTGGGCTCCATCCCTGGAGAACTTTGGATGACCAGGGTAGGTGGCACCAGTGAAGGTTGGGTGACCATGATGGACTTCACCCATGGAGAACGTTGAGTGACCAGGGTAGGTGGCACCAGTGAAGGTTGAAGGATCGTGATGGTCTTCACCCATGGAGAAGGTTGGGTAATCGTGGTGGGCTTCACCCATGGAGAACATTGGGTGATCGTGGGGGGGTCCATCCATGGCT